TAAGGACACCTGAAGATCCAGGGCAAGTAAGGTTGATATATTGAACAAAACAGAAGGTTGGTGAATAAAATCTTGTTTTCCAGGTGTCCTGATTATGCTTCATACCCTAAAGTGGCACGGTTTTATGCAGTTTTCCTGGACATTGTTCTCTGTCTTTGGATCCAAAGGCTGCATTCCACAAACTTAGCCCCACCTGTCCAAGTGGCCAGGCACTAGAAACCAAAGTCAGTTCTGGGAGTGGTGTGCCAATGTGGGCCAGTTTGTTTATTTATTTATTTTTCGTATTCAACTTTATTTCGGCTTGCATGACCAAAAGTCTTAAGCACTTAAGCACACTTGTACACACTTATAAACTTATAAAAGTACCATTCATACATAAAAGAAAAAAAAGAACAGTGAGATGCATTGTACAAATATGAGTGTGTTACACTAAATGGGATCGTCAGACAGAGTAAATACTCAAACAGGTACACAGAGCATAAAATCAGAAAGATTTGGACTTTCCCCTCCTTCTCCCTTTTTTTTGTTTACCACCAGGGCCAGAAACGTGGCTACTGCTTTGGTAACTGAATTATCAACTTTATCAGATAAGAGAACAGAAATTGACCAGGGCAGGGAGGGAAGCTTTTCTTTTATCAAGATGGGTATAATATACTTCTGCCTCTCCAATTTTTCATATTTATATCCCGCCCATCCCGCAAGCAGGCTCAGGGCGGGTCACATCATATTTGACTGTTGACTGTATGACAAGCGCCAAAGCTGCTGTGACTCATCTGAGCCATTACAGCCGCTTAAAAGCTGGGCTTATATCCGGTTGTGGAAACCTTTCCCCAGCAGATCACATGCAGCAGTTTGGCAGTTGCTCACAGCCACTGGCTCAAGCAGTCTTCCGTCTTCCACGTATGAATGTGTTGGAGCTTGGCTGTCTTCTGCTGGGTGCTGAAAAAAGGTTGAGGTGGTGCAGTGACTTTCTGGATCTCATCATAACCTGCTCCTTCCTGCTCTTTGGGAAATACAAAAAACAAAGCTCAATTACTTCATTTCCATGCCTTTAGCGATAGACTCTTGTAACAAAAATTCTATGGTCCTGTCAAATCTTCCCTACATTCTTTCCAAATCGTGTGTGTATTGCCATGCCCTTTGAATCTCATAGAAAAAGCCTCATCAGTGCAAAGAATGCTGCCATACTAGTCTAATGTTTTGGCATAAACGTGCAGTGCTGAGTTCAGTAAGAATCAGGCTAACAATCTTGGCAGGTATTTTT